TGGGTTGTAGATGGCTCATGTCTATAATCCTAGTTACTTAAGAAACTGAGAGCTGAAAGAGTGTGGTTGGAAGCCAATCCAGGCCATAAAGTCTACAAGACTGCATACTTTCATTTAAACAACACAACACTAAACTAGAGGCATAGCTCCAGTAGTAGAGCACCAGCCATGAGTAAGAAAGCTGAGCAAGAGGGTGAAGCCCTGGGTTCAAAACCCAGAGTGAAATTAAAACAAAAGTTTTGTAATGTTAGCTATCATTTATTTTGTGGTTGTTTTAAAGGTATTTTTTCCTCTTTTATTATCTTTATTTAGAATTTGGTGTCTTTTTGTGGCGGCCTGCTTTCAAAACCTTTTCTGTGCATTGATTTTGATTCTGGTTTTGTAGAAACCACAAAATTAATATAAAGTCTGTTAAATGCAAAACTGGCTGTTTTAAACAGATGGCAACATAACTTTTACCACAAATAGAAATCACACTTTAACTTCCTCTCCTCCATCTTTTAGCTTTTGATGTCAAAATTTATCTTTGTGTGTGTATGTGTGTGTGTGTGTGTGTGTGTGTGTGTGTGCATGTGTATATGCTGGTACTGGCACATGATCTCAGGGCCTGGGCACTGTCCCTGAGCTTTTTCACTCAAAGCTAGTGCTCTGCCACTTGAGCCACAAGCTCCACGTCTAGATTTTTCCTGGTTAATTGGAGATAAAAGTCTCAGGGACTTTCCTGCCTGTGCTGGCTTCAAACCTTGATCCTCAGATCTCAGTCTCCTGAGTATGTAGGATTAAAGGTGTGAGCCACCAGAACCTAGCCTAATTTTTTAAAATGTATTCTGAAACACATTAACTACAGTTGGGTTTTTTTAAATCTTGTCTTCCTAACCCTCATGGTAGTTACAAAATTGTTTCATGTACCGCTTCACAGTTGAAGAGCATCCTGCATCTCCCTATGTGCCACAATGGAGGGCAGTTGTTATGGATGGGTATATAGTAGCTTCCCTCAGTATATTCACTGGATGGAAAATACTTTTCCTCTCCACTGAATAATCGCTTTCTAGTTAACTCTGTGAAGAACCTGATGGAGATACAGATGTATTCAGTGGGAGGACTTCATAGGGCCTTTTTCTCTCTACTGAACTGATGCCACACTTCAGCCCACAGAGATCAATTTTCAGAGTAAGAGCATCCCTGACTTTTGTGAGAGTAGAAGGCTGCCCTGTAATTATGACATGTTCCCTCTCACATCACAGCACATTCCAGAAGCCTGCCCTGAAGACCACAGGGAAGTAGAATCCAAAGCCCCCATCGAGGACAAGGAACTGAGATGGTGAAACTTACTCTGGAACCCTTTCTCCTCACCCTGGTCCTGCTGGACCAAGCAGGATTGTGTGGATTCAGACCATTGTTGTCAGCTAAGAACAACACTGAGAGTTGGGCTCTGCCAGTGAAGAGAGCCCACTTGTTAATATTGTATGTAAAGATCTCTTCCCTTTCATGGTTTGCTTCTTTCTTCTCCGAAGAAGCTGAAAAGCTAGAGCCTCGTTTTTCACTTCCCCATCCCTCACACACATCTCTTTGTAAAAGAAGCAGGCATCAGAGTGCAAACCAAGGGAAATAAACCTCTGGAGCTAGATGGGGGAGGGGTCCAGCCTACCTTTAAATCACTCAGGACCACTGTGAACTTGGCCAGTACAAATCTCAGTGCCTGCACCAAAATCTTTCTCTGTAACTTCTGCTTTGAGGTCCCCATTCTACTGCAATCCAGATAGACATTCAGCCTCAGTGTACAGTTATGTGAGACCCAGAGGGTTTACAATGTCAAAGATAAGGTGCAGGTCTCAGGGACAGTCTTCAACACAACTCAGGTTGCTCCCATTCATCATCCCATCAGGAATGGCTTGCCTATGTCCCATCTGACTAGACTAGAGGCCACAGAAAGTCCCAGCATCCAAGGACTTGCAAATTCCCTGAATTTTTTGAATGGGAAGAGAGTACCAGATACTCTTGCCAGACTTGGTAGGCATGTTCCCATGTGATTTTTCCCCCCAGCTCTAGCCCAGGGAGTTGCAGCTGGCCAGAAGTGACTAGAATGTTGGGGAGTGGTTTGCTAGGGTTGTGTACTGTAAAGTGCCTCAAACTGTGGCTTACACAATAGAATTTAATTCTCTCATGTTTCCAGAACCTAGAACTCTGAAGGTAGCAGGGAGGAAGATGTGCAATTCCTCTCTCCTAGCTTCTGCCAATTTTCCTGACAATCATTGGCATTTCTTAGGCTGACTTCAGCCTTTGTCACTGTGTGTGTGTGTGTGTGTGTGTGTCGAGGTGCATGCCCACCTCCACTTTTCCCCTTCTATGAAGGCAGCAGTCATATTGGGTTAGAGGCCTATCCTATTACAGTAAGACCCCATCTTAACTAATTACAATCACTGTTTCCAAGTGAGATCACATTCTGAGCTATGGAGAGTTAGGACTTCCAATATATGTATTTCAGAGGACACAGTCCACTATATCTAAGAGAGTGTACAGTGCATAAGGGAGGGAAGGAAATGTTTTCTCCCCTATATCCTGCTTCTCTTTAGGATTTTTTTTCTGGTCCTGGGGCTTAAACTCAGGGCTTGGGCACTGTCCCTAAGACTCTTTGTATTCAAGGCTAACGCTCTGCCACTTGAGCTACATACGTGCCACTTGTGGCTTTTTCAGAGTAGTATATCAGAGGTTAAGAGTCTCATGGACTTTGTTGCCTGGGCTGGCTTGGAATCGTGATCCTCAGATCTGTCTCCTGAGTAGCTAGGATTAGAGGTGTAAGCCATAGATGCTATTTTTTTCAATGAAAAAAAAAAATGGCCATTTCCTTAGAACATCATTCTTTATGGATTTTAGGGGTTGGGACAAACCTCTTTCATTCTGCTTTCTGCCTAATGCATCACTTTTCTGATGTGTAAAATGAACAATTGCTTAGTTATCTGAATTCAAGCAAGAGCCAAGGACAAGATAACCAATAAACCAGTCAATATGCCCAAACTGCCATCCTTCCCAATAGGCAGTCTGTTTCCTGGAATACTGAAGAGGAAAGCTAAAGCCAGAGTTAGCTGTGGAGATCTAGGAGCTCAGGATTCTAGCTGTGACCTCGTGGGATACAAAAGTTGCGAGCAGTCATTCTCTTAGCAGGCATAAGGCAGGGAAGCAGCTCTTTAAAAATGACCTTTATTTTAAAAATTGACATAATCTTTGGGTAAGTCACAATTAGCTTAGGCATGTTTCAGAAGGTGCGAATGTCTCACCTCCAAACCAAGAGCAATAGCTTATTTGATTGGTACAAGGATTGAGGAGGATCTCATGATGCAGAATGAATAGATGATTACTGAAGACAGAATCCTATACAAAAGCTTTCTTGCAGCATCCGTTGTTTTTTAAATTATCTGTTACAAATATTAAAAAACACCTCATCAGACCAATAATAATACCCATATCTTACTTGCATGTTACTAAAGTTTCTACCCAGAACACCAAGTTCTGTAGACTTCAGAATCATACTTAAATTAATTTAATCCTTCACATTAAGCATAACAACTAAAAAACTAGATTCTACCCAGTGTAGTCTCAGCATCCAGGATGTGTCCTGCTGACAGAATGCCATCTACTTGGGCATGCTGTGAATCAAATCAAAACATGAAGCAAGCCAGGATAAAGACTCCTTCCATACAGCAGTTGGCAGCTTCTGTTCCTCTCGCCTCCAAAGCAGAATCAGACCTGAGCTGCAGACTGTGAGGAAGGGCACAGGTTCCATATCATCTACCTGATGGTTTTCTGGGTGTGTTACAAGAAGGACAATTGTCTCCCAATGGAAGAGTTCATTTCCTGAGGACATTCCCCTCCCAACACCCCTCCCCACCTCCTTCTTCACAGTAAGGCCCAGTCCCAGTGTGGTCATAGATCCTTCCGGAATAAAAGGAGGGAAATTAGAGTACACTGAGCACCTACTATGTGCCAGGTCAGGTATTTTTCCTGTATTCCTCACAATACCCCGTAAGGTAGGATTATTACTCTTATTTTACAGATATGTGGAAACCGAGGCTCAGAGGAGAGAATCTGCCCAAAGTGGCACAGTGAAGAAGTAATGAATATCAAGTAGAAAACCCAGGGCTTCTCAGTCTAGGGCTCTTTTTACTACCCACATAAAGCCAAGGAATTGGCGATAAAGATATCCCAGCTCCAAGATGGTTGGTCTAGAACCCAAATATTGGAGTCCTTTGAGAGTGTGGAGGCAACCTTGGGAAGTCCAGAAGCCTGGACCTAGGAATCCTGGCTCTACAGCATTATTTTGGGACCTCAAACATGCCCTTACACCATGCCACACCTGGGACTAGATGGGCTAATGTAGCTCCCCATCAAGGAGGAGGGGCTTGGCAAAGCCACCTTGGGAGTTCACTGGTGAACCACAGTGCGCAGCCTCCACCCAGACTCTGGTTTTGTCCTCTCATAGGGAACAGATGAAGGATATAACATTCTGACATTGCACACCTTGTGAACATTGGTTATGATTAAGGATCTCACCTCTGAGGGAAACCTAAATCCTAGGAAACCATGCTACCACGTCTTGAAAGGTTTTTCACAGAAAGCTTGTGATATGAGATAAAAAAAAATTGGAGTCAGGACACTTTAAAAGCAGGCAATGATTGAAAATAATTTGAGAAAGCCAGGAGCCAGTGGCTCATGCCTGTAATCCTAACTACTAAGAAGGCTGAGATCTGATTATTACAGTTGGAAGCTGGCCTCTAAGATAAGAGTCTTTGAAACTCTTTTCTCCAATTAACCTCCAAATATCCAGAAGTAGAGCTATGATTCAAGTGGTAGAGCCCAGCATTGAGCATAAAAACTAAGGGACAGAACCCAGACCCTGAGTTCAAGCCCCATTATTGGCACAAAAGAAAGGGGGGAAAGAAAAGGGGAGGGAAGGAGTGGTAAGGAAAAGAGGGAAGGAAGGAAGGGAGGGAGGGAGGAAAGAAGGAAGGAAGGAAGGAAGGAAGGAAGGAAGGAAGGAAGGAAGGAAGGAAGGAAGGAAGGAAGGAAGGAAATAATTTGAGAGAGGAAAGGCTACTCTAAAGGGAAAGAAAAGGCAACAGTCAGGAGAAATGAGGGTAGATTGCTGAAAAGGAAGAGTTGGAGAATAGTATGCAAACCCAGGTGCTAGAGGTCAATCCAAATTGAGGCTGCAAAAATTTTTTTTGGGAAATCTGGTTTCATTGAGTCTGCTATAGGGTTACACATGGGCAAGGGACTTCCCCCCAAAATATTTTGAGCCTTATGTTCAGGCAGATTTTAAAGAATAAAAAATTGGTAATGAAGGAAGAAAGAAAAGTCAAATGGCTCCCTGAAATCCACTTGATATCTGTCACCTGGTTCTCCTTCCCCAAGGCCCTAGCATTATAGAACCTCCTATAACCCATAAATCCCAATAGAATAGCTCCCTCCTTGGTATATAGAGATCAGGCCTATCTCTCTGAAAGCCCAGCACACACTAGCTGACGGTTACACATGTGTCTTTCCCACTAAACTGTGAACAACTTGAGGAGAGGGACTGCACCTTTCTTCTCCACGTGGAGAGGAAAGCAGGCTAACCAAGATCCTTTGTTTAGCTGGGTAGTTAGGGCTCACATCTGTAACCCTAGCTACTCAGGAGGCTGAGATCTGAGGATCTCAGTTTGAAGTGTACCTGGGCAGGAAAATCCATTAAACTCTTAGCTTCAATTAAACCATCAAAAAGCCAAAAGTGGAAGCATGGCTTTTGTAAAAAAGGTAAGAGACAGTGCTCTGGCCCCAGGTTCAAGCCCCAGCACTGAAACACACACACACACACACACACAAAGGTCTTTTGTTGATAAGCACCCTGGCTAATAAATAGCCCAATCAGCCAGGGAGATGATGGGACCATATCCTTGGGGAAATTTTTCTTGAGGAACAATTTCAATCTTGGGGGACAATGTTTCTCCAGTGGACTTGAGGGTGCTTCTAATGTGTTGTATAGTAATTATTCACACACCCCCACCCCACATCTACCCAACCTCCACCCAGAATTACCTCATACCTGGCCTAGTCGTGATTTGAGAGAGTTTCTTTAAAATGTGAAACCAACACCTAGGTAGAGATTTCAAGCAATAGTGTGCTGGTTTGTGAGAATGACATCATTCAGGTAGAAGAAACAAAGCAGCTCAGTTTTGGCAGACCTGGTGGGATATGTGCATCTACCTATGTAGAATGAGGGAAGGATGCTGTCTAGAAAGAGTGTCGTGTGTGTGTGTGTGTGTGTGTGTGTGTGTGTGTGTCCATGTGTGCAGCAGGAAGCTGAGCTTACACTCTCTTTGTGGCTAGCAACATGGAAACTTAGGCCTAGTTCCTTGCTTTTAGGCTTCCAGAAACCCCAGAGCTCTTGTTGTCAAAAGCCCCTAGAACAATCCTTTGCAAGGAACAGCCAAGGATGGTTCAAGAAAATGGTCTGCCCAGACCAGCCATGAACTGCTGGTAGAGAATGAGCATGCTTGGCTGGAGGCCCACGCTCAGCAGCGAATGTTCCGAAAACCAGACAATGTGGCTTTTCCAAATAGGTAAATGTCCTCATCTGTGCCTTCATTGAGGTGCTTTACCATGTTCTTCTCAAAGAGGAGCGGGTGGTAAGCACCCATCGTGCAGGCGCTATCAAAGTACTTCTGGTAGTAGTAGCATACGTCAGTCTTGCGCTTGGATGGGAGGAACTCATAAATGTCCACCTGGTCACAGAGCGTCAACATGACAATGATACCTGCAGAGAAGGAGGAGCGGTGAGTCAAGCCCAGCATCTTACACACCAGAGCTGCAGAGATCTGCCCAGTGGGGAGATGTCACCTGGAGCTTCTCTTTGTTCCTGTGAATCCCAAGCTGAATTGTGCTAGTGAGCCAGGGACAGCACACTGCTATATGCTATATGCTATATGCATCTTATGCAACTTCCTATTGCCGGGACAAAGGCATGACAGGTTCACGCTCCTCAAACTAGCAGATTAAAGGACTCCCTCAATCAATACATTGGTCAACAGAATAAGCCATAGGACACCAGGGCTAAGTGAAGAGACAATGCCAGCACGTGCAGTTAGCATTTCCCAGCATTTTTACCTCCTATAGCCTTGGGGATGTTGTCATCGGGGAGAAGTATTTCATACAGTGCCAGCAGGAAATGGTGCAAAGAAGACTTCTTCCTTTAGCTAGAAAGGAGGCCCAGATGGACCATTCATCCAGCAAGGAGATGTAGGTTGAGGGGCTGTGGCCCAGGCTGGTGCTCTCTGGAGAGGCCACGCAGAACACTGAGGCACAAGCCCAACCAGGAGGCAAGGAGGGGAGGGAGAGTCCCACTACCACCCACCTTTGTCCCCAACTGGCTAAGTTGTGTTGGGTAGGAAATGTCCCTTCCTTTGGCCTTCAGCTGCTCAAAGGAGTAGGGATTATCCAACTCTCCCATTGTATAGGTCATTGTTAGCATGAAATAGGATCACAGTCCTAAGATACCGTTAATTAACTAGTCACTCAGGGACTCTCTAGGAAGGATAAATTCTCAACTGAGAACAAAACAGTTAGCTGTCAGCAACTTTGTTCCAGAAGAATCAGATATGAGAAAAGCCCTACCTCTGCCCTTTAGCTCAGTGGAGAAGAGAAGACAGTTTAGTTGCTAACCTAGGAATCACAGGAAGGAGGAATAGCTGGGTGTAGAGGAATAATGGCCAGAGGGAGGGCCGAGAGCAGAGCAGAGCAATGATGGTGGAGGCCACAGCAGAGACAATGGCAGGGCAGTGCTCCTCAAGATGATTACTCCTGGTTGAAAGGCTTCAGGAAGAGACCCAAATGCACTCAATCCAAAAGCTGAAGCAGAAGATGTAAAGATGTATCACTGCAAAGGCCCCAATCCCTTACTATTAGAGTGTCTCTGACAGTAAACTGATTTACTTGAAGAACAATTGTCATGCCAAACCCACAAAGGTAAGTCAAACAGATGCCACCCTGAAGGAGTATGAAGTCTAGAAGGGAAAGTAAGCAGACAGATGACACAGCTGTGAGTGGCTGGAGCCATCCAGTGGGAAAGCAGTACTGTGGGGCACTGGGGAGGAGCTTCCATCTCTGCACACAGAGCCTGCATCCCCTGGAAAAGGCCCAGCAGTCCAGCCCAAGAATGACAGGGAAGGGTAGATGGTCCATGAGAACTTAGGGGTATAAACAAAGCTTAAGAAGAAAGCCTCTTCCTAGCATTCAGGACTTTCTATCCCCAGCCCATCCTGTGCCTGCTCCCAGAGGCTCTTCTAAGTCTCCACACCCAGGTGCCCATTCATGATGCTCTTAGGGTTGTGACTAGGGCATTCACTAGGGAGAACATTTAGACAGTCTGGAAGTGGCATTACTGACTTTTTTGCTTCAACTTTTAGCATGACTCTGCACGATATATCGCTGAATCTGTGTTGATTTAAATATATCACAATTTGGAGGGGGTAGTTTTTTTTTAAAAGGTATTGCATTAAAATAGTATCTAGCTTGATTCATGAGTTCTGAGATGCTTCCTGAATTACAACGTAAGACAAGAGCCTGCCCTCTTCATCCAAAGTTCAGCCCTGCTACATCTTTTTCTCCACTCCTCCTCTTGGTTATATCCATCCCTTTACCCCATCTCCATATGTCAAATCGTCCTGTTTCTGAGGAGTAGCTCATACTATGTCCTCCCTAACTGTCCGGCGAGAAAGGGCTCTCTCTCCTGTGACACCAGGGTAGGCTCTCCTTCTTGGCTCAAGCTGAATATTGCCCCAGATACCTGGCTACTTTCTCCTAGTAGACACAATGAAGGAGAATTCTATCTTCGCGATTTTGGACAGAATTTGGCACAATGTAGAAGGAGAGCAAGATCAATTGTTTTGGTCAACAAAGAGGCTGAATAAATGAGATCCCTGGAAATAACTACACAAGGACTTCCCCAGATAAGGACTTACCAAGCATGCCGGAGGATGGGGGGTTTGGCTGAATCTCTTCAGGGGAGATTTCCTGAAGGATGTCCCACAGCTCCCAAGGCATCTGGGGCTTGAGGATGTAGAAGGGCTGGCTGGGGTGCAGCTTGCGGTAGCTCTTATAGTTGTTAAAGAAATTGTAGTCAGGATTCTGGTACCACTGAAAAAGAAGGAATTTTGTCGACTCAAGAAGAGAAAAGTGTCTGTGTCCATGTGGCCTATAAAGTAGGCATTCTCATCCAAAAACTCAGAGGGGCAGGAACCAGGGCAGAGCCATGAGACATAGCCCCTCCTCTGGAATACATTCCAGGCTTCTGCACATCATAGTTCTCGGTGGGTAGCATAGTAGGGCCTGGCACAGTCTGTACTTAGAGGAATGTTAGGATTGGGGACCCTGGAATAGTTTCAGACAGGACAATGGAGTCTGGTCATAGTAGCTCAGCTGAAAGGGGTTTTATGTGCCATCTAACCCCATCTTCTTTTTAAGACCAGGTCTTATTATGTTATACAGACCGGATTCCAGCTCCTAGGCATAGGTGATCCTCCTGCTTTGTCTCCCAAGTAGCTGGTACTATGGATACATACACTATCTAGTTACTCTTGATTTTGAAGAGAAAACTGGAGCACAGGATGTTATGCCTATGTGTTCAGAGTCCCTCTCTTGACTTATGGACATTTGAGTTCTACGTGAGATCTGTGCACACTTGTACCAACAGAAGTAGTGCTAAGGATCCCTAGAGCCTATCAGCTACTGGTGGAGCTAACTTAAAAATTTAGCATCCCAAGAATAGGGCTGTCTGCCTTTCCTCATGAATGCCATTCTCCTGAGGCCACTGGAAGGCTGTTCCAGGGCCAAAGAATCCAGCAGTTCTGAAGCTCATGTTTCCTTCCTGGGAACAGCTGATGTTCCTCAGTGTAGGAAATTAAGTCCTGGGCAGGCCACTTTCCCTGTCCACATTCTGGTTTCTCCACTTGTAAAATGGGAACAACCATCTACTTCCTCCTGGTGTTGTAAGAGCGAAATGAGAATAATTCAAGAAGTTGGAGGTATGGCAGAGAAATGTAGAAATATTATTGACAGGGGAGCAGTAGCTACTGTCCACTCCTGCTGAAGCTCATCAGGAATAACTGCTTTAATGAATACACTCTACTCTAGATGTGAGAAATCCAGCCACCATTACTCCCAATACATAATGAAACTGGGATGTATCCTCAACAGTACAGGACAGGCTCGACAGGAGTGTTTGTAAGTCTGCTACCCAACACAAAGTGGGATGCCCTCAGGAATGGCTCAGCTCATCCATGACTTTAAAACCCCCTAAACATTTTGAAACTCCATAGGCAAAGAAAGACTCAACCCTTACTTTCCACTTACCTTTGGGATATCTGAGTGGTACACAGATGGGTCCCACACAATTAAGATTCCTTCATTGTACAAACCATCCTTGAGGAAGCGCCTATCTGTGGTGACCAACTGCAAGAAGGAAGAGACAGGCTGTCATTTGGACATCTATATGGAAACATTTGGCTCTCAGTAATCAATGGCCCATCACCACTGAACTTCAGTGAAAAGTAAAAGGCCAGTCTGAACTGTGTTGACCTCAAAGAATATTTAAAACATGCTATCAGCCATAGAGCAGATTTTGAGACTACAACACACAGGGTCCTCATCTCTTTGGGAGGCCACCCTGGAATACTGTGGCTGAGGTAGAGCACCAGAACAGGTGGTCAACTTGTGTGGAGGGACCACAAGCATGCAAAATTACATAACTTTAAACACAAGAATCTCACTAGGCTGAGAAAATGCTTGAGTGTAATCTGCTGGGGAGCGAGCCACAGCTGTCTTCCCATACATCCCCACGTACCTGGGCTGAGCTACACACAGGTAGTTCAACACACCTAGTTAACTGTGAGAGTGACCATTCTGATGGAACTTTTTTTTTTTGTCAGTCATGGGGCTTGAACTCAGGGCCTGGGAGCTGTCCCTAGGCTTTTTTTGCTCAAGGCTAGTGCTCTAACACTTTTCAAAGTGTTCACCATAGCACTACTTCTGGTTTTCTGGTGGTTAATTGAAGATAAGAGTCTCACAGACTGTTTTTTACAGGTCTGGCTTCAAACTGCTGTCCTCAGATCTCATCCTCCTGAGTAGCTAGTGTTATAGGCATGAGCCACTGGTGCCTGGCTATGATGGGACATTTTTGCAAAATATATTAGGAACTTTAAAACAGAAAGCATATACAGACTCAATAATTCTACTTTGGCCGGGCTGGGAAGGTGGTTCAGTGGTAGAGCGCTTGCCTTGCATGTATGAGGCCCTGATTCGATTCCTCAGCACCACATAGCAAAAAAGAAAAAAGCCGGAAGTGGCACTGTGGCTCAAGAGATAGAGCGCTAGCCTTGATCTGAAGAGCTGAAGGACAGTGCCTAGGCCCAGAGTTCAAGCCCCATGACCAACCAAAATAAATAAATAAATAAATAATCATTCTACTTTGGGGATTTTATCCTAACAAAGAATCCAAATCTGGGGTAAAATATACATGGTAATGTTAAGTACATTATTTAACCAAATAGGAAAAGTATGATAGCAGAAGAGGAAAGCTATCAGATGTTAATATAAAAAGATTCAGGTTTACCCCCTCGTCTTTGCCACAATCTTAAGTGGTTGACTATAGAGTAATCTCCTTAGGCCTTTGTTTTACATAGTATATGTGGAATGGAGACAGTTGCCCTAAATTCTCAGATGAGAGCTATCTTTAGAATCAAATAAGGAAAATATATGAATGAAAAACAAAAGTTGCTCCAAAGGCTGAGAAATGAAGGAATCCATGTCCCTCTTCGAAAGCTAAAACAGCAATATGATGTCAATTGGAGCTCATCATTAAGAGCACATGGGACATGACTCAGGTGAAATACAAGAGAAGCACTTAGCAGAAACCAAATCAAGACCCCAGTGAGCCAGGCACTCCTAGATTCCCACCTGTATCCTAGCAACTCAGAGATTAAGATCTGGTGGATCAAAGTTTAGAGCCAGCCTAGGCAGAAAAGTCCACAGGGCTCCATCTCCAATTGTCCAGTAAAAAGCTGGTCTGGAGGTGTGGCTTAAGTGGTAGCACCTCAACCATGAGCCAAGTGTGAGTTCCTTGAGTTCAAACCCAAGTACTTGAGGACAAAAAGACTTGACAGAATAAGTAATCTTCCCTTAGCAATCATGCCTCCTACTTCAATCATCATGGAGTCCTAATCAACATCTAATTTTGACCAATACTATGAAAGCAAGTAATGACTTCTAGGGGCATATTAGAAGGAGCAGGTCACCCCTAGTCCTCCTGTATACACAGGAACTGCTTATGACCTGAGGTACTTGTACTGGATGAAAACAGAATCCAAGAAATTGGGAAGAGGGAAAGAAAAAAAGGTAAATTTAGTTGGAGAGGAGAAATAGGAAGTGGCCAGGACTGAGATATGGTAGAGAGAAAGGAAAAAATCCTAGCAAGCCACATCCTTCCCCCCTTTCCCCTGTCACTCACAGAACTCTAAACTTACATTATTTCCCTTTATTTAACAATTGCCCTTAAACCTGTGGAGAACTGAGAGCAGGAGTTCCACCCCCGTTCCTAGTCTGTAATTCTACGGTCTTAGGTATATCATGGTCTCCTGGCCTCCATACTTGTTCCCAAACATTATACCCTGTAAGACTCTGCCCCAGGTGTATCTTTCCTGGAAGCTCTTCTCTAGTGCTCCCCTACCTCCCTGCCCTGGAAGTGGGACCTAGGCTTGGGAAACTCTAGGTGACCAAAGAGAGGGCTAGCAGTGAGGAGCTGTTCTGAGCTAATGCTCAGAACTCTACAGGACTCTACTCAGAACATCTACCAAGACAAGGGGACACCAGAGAGATAGAGAACTGCTGTTTAAAGTCACCTTTCTAGGAGAGAGAACACAGCTATAAGAGCCAATGTCTATATGTGAACATGGAAAGGAAAATGGAAGGGATGGGTGGGATTGGGAGAGATGGGGAAGAATGCTGAAAAGGATGACCTTGATCGAGATCCATGGTACTCATTAACTCACATGTTGAATTGAAACCCCTTTGAAGATAATTTAAAAAAAAATAAACGTTCTAATCATGAAGGCACGAATGTTCAAGGCAGAAAGTTTGAAAACTTCAGAATAGAATCTATACGCACACACATATACAAAGGAGAACATACCCATCTGTAATTGCACACAATTGCATCCCTCAGCTATTGCTTCTGTGAATATTTGGGAGTATTTTTTCTTCACAGATCTTTTTCTTTCTCTGTTATGGACTGAACTGTGACCTCCTCCATTCAAATGTTGGATCACTAATACCCAAAGTGACTACAGTTGGAGTATTTGGAGGCAGAGCCTTTAGCAGAGTGACTAAGGTCAAATGAGGTCATAAGGGAGTAGCCCTAATCCAGCAAGGGTGGTGTCCTTAAAGAACAAGAAAGAGACCAGAATTGCTCAGTGTGGGAACACTTGGAAAGTCACTGGAGGACACAACAGGAGGACACAAACACAGGAGGACACAGGAGATCCCAACAAGGCAAAAAGTGAGCCTTCTCCAGAAACCCAAGCCCATGGCACATTGGATTGTGGCATCTACAACTAGTTGAAAACAAAATTTCTGTTGATTAAGGCATCTAGTATGTGGTATTTTATTATGGAAGCTTAACGTAACTAATGTTGCAAGTATGTATTGTGGAGATGTAGATATATCTTTCATGCATAGGAGTGTACATCTAGAGGTATAGACAGACATATGATGTGTGTATGTGTGAATACCTGTGTAAATGTACACATATGCATACATTTCCATGGATATACTTCCTAGCTATATCTGCTCAAAGATACCCTGATACAGATGAGCACACCTAGGAATCAAGAGCTTTATTTTGGTACCATGTTTTACTAAAAAGAACCAGGAATCTTCAGAGAAGATGCCTGATCCCAGGATGAAGCCAAGGTAACCTAAGGAAATAAAACTTTTCTAAATTTCTCAGTGCTCCTATAAAAAGCCCAAGCATCTTGTTTGTTCATATACCTTGAGGAGGATCAAATCTCTAGCTATTTTGCTGAATAATTGCTCTGCTTTGATCAGAAGATAATACAATTTTTCTTAGGTTCCCAGTTGGGTAAATGCAATGCTCATGCCCAGAGAACTTCTCTAGTGAAGGCTCTCCAGGGGCCAGGAAGATGGAAGTGGTCAAATTCCCAGGTCTTTGGATTTCAGGATGGAATGAGGTCTAAGAATTATACATCTCTATAGGTAAGTTTATTTACATGTCAATGAGTGGAATGAGCAGCCTTAAGATGTGGCAAGTTTCTGCCTTTTATTTAAAAAGCAATGAGGGAAAATTAATTTTTTAAATAGTCTACTGACTATTAAGACAAACAGACAGACACAAAAACATAAAGCTGGGTACTAGTGATTCATGCCTGTAATCTTAGCTACTGGAAAGGCTGAGATCTGTATATTGAAGTTCAAAGCCAGCCCAGGCAAGAAAATCTATGAGACTCTTCAATTAACCCCAAACAAAAAAAGTTGCAAGTAGAGCTGTGGCTCAAGTGGTAGAGCACTAAACTTGAGAAAAATAGCTCATGAGTTCAAGCCCAGGACCAGCACAAAAACAAATAACAACAACAACAAACAGGCTTTCATTATATTGTCTTTGAGGATAAGGACTTAGGCAAAAGAGCGACCACTCATTCATTTCTTTATTTCAAGATAGGGTCTTATGATATTATTCAAGCTGGCCTCAAACTTCTGTGCTCAAGTGACCTCCTATCTCAGCCTCCTGGGCAATTATGACTATAGGTACATGCCACCATACTTGGCTCTCATTTAATAATTACTGTAAGGTATTTAAGAAATTTAGCTCGGATCCAGGACACCCTGTTTGCACAATTCAAGATAAAAATAATAATCAGGAAATATTTAAATGTCAAAAGATAACTTCAAAATGAGTTGGAATATCTTATCACAGAAAGTAAAGCAGTGTGGAAGAAAGGAAGGAAGGAAGGAAGGAAGGAAGGAAGGAAGGAAGGAAGGAAGGAAGGAAGGAAGGAAGGAAGGAAGGAAAGAAGGAAAGAAAGAAAGAAAGAAAGAAATCTGGTAAGTGCATGAATGTCACAAGGGAACAAGAGCCAGTTTGGAAGAAATTCCACTAGTCAAATCTGGAAAAATTTCAATACCAAAGTAATTCAGAATATTAAGCAATTGTAAACTACTAAGAAAATAGGAATCATGAATAGGTATCCAATGAAACAAGAGAAGGGAAGAGAAGAGAAGAGAAGAGAAAAAAAGGAGGCGGTAACAATGCTCAACAAGAAATGTACTCATTACCTTACTCATCTAACTAGAACCCATCTGTACAGCACCTTTACAATAAAATAAACTTTTTTTAAAAAGTGAGAAGAGAAAAAAAGAGAAGGAAGGGAGAAGGAGAAAGG